TTTGGTTAGACTCCAACACGGTAGCAAATGATGATGAAAGCCACCAGAACCCTCACTGTGTTCAGATAGAACTAGGAATAGGAGACTCCTAGTGCGGCGTGCACCTCCTTGATAAAAGGGTGCAAAGGCAGCCGTAAGTCATGTTCCAAGTGGGTCAGGTACAGCAGAACTCGACCCACGTCATGGTAATATACTGGCTCGCTCATCTCTGGCGCCGCCAATGTGAGAGTCCGAGGGATATTGTATTAATCATACAACCCCACCAGATTATCCATATGGACCTTCGAGAGGATAAGTAAAAGAATAGTGAGTCTCCCCTCATTTCAGCCAGAGTTTGAAACTTGAGAGGTCTGGAAGACTTTTTCTTAAAAAGGCTTGGAGGAATATCAGGAATTTGTCAGAACGAAGGTTTGTAAAAGAATTATCTTAACATTAAGAGGCCATTTATAAGCTTTCAAGGAAGAGTATAGAAGAATTTCAGAGGATGCGGTGATTTTTCAAGCAACCAAGCCCGATCTACTTTGGAATCTGAAGCGGTTCACTCGAAACACGAAGCGCCACCCTCATTTAATATCCCACGTCCCAATACTCGAAAAACGGAAGATCCTCCATTATGTCCATGATACTTCATCTCCTAAAAAGACGGTTCAGATCTTTTATAACGTCAGCCATGAGAAGCGGAGTCAACAATGGATGCCCGATAAAGACAGCCACGTCTCTAAGATAAAGACTTCTCATTTTTTCGTCCCCAGCAGGCTTGTATTGATCAGAGCATATCTTATTTTCCTCGAAGCCGACTAAAAGTTGACTCCAAGCGAAAAGGGCCAACTGTTATGGTGTTCACTCACCCAAGATATGAGCATTTGTAAAATGAAACAATAAGAGTCCTAGCAAAATAACCCCAAACCCACTTAAGTGGCCCAAGCCCTACAGAGGCCTCGACCCCGCCGACTCATCAAGTCGACATTCTTTCATGTCGACACGAAAGGCGGGATCAGTCGACCCTATCGCCGAGGACGGCCCACTTAGGGCACTCGACCACTCACTGGGCAATTCTCAGAGACGACTTGAGAGACATTCCCTGATGTCGACTAAGTTGACGACTCGACCCCGGCCTCAAGCCTCTCCCCTAGAGCATATGTCAACATGTCAGTCCACATTGGACAAACCTTATCGAGATTTTAGACTAATGGTCTCCATGACTTGTCAGTTGTCCATGTGCCTTTTGCCACGATCTCAATCACTTCCCAGAAAAATACGGAGACACCCTCTCCCATGCCGAAGTGACTTCCCCTCCAATCGTCAGCCAACACCTGTAAAGCGATGGATGATTCAGTATACCAGCGTGCCTCCTGCCACGCTCTTAATCACTTCCCAAAAATGCGGAGACACCCTCTCCCATGCCGAAGTGACTTCCCCTCCAGTCGTCAGCCGGCACATGTAGAGCAAAAGATGACTCACCTTCCAGCTCATACTTTATCACCGCCATTTGCATGACCGAAGTGACCAATCTGCCATTGGCATCCCCTGTAAATACAGATGCTATTCGCCATAGCCAAAGGTTCGCAATCTAAAACCCCCCTAAAGCACACACTGTACAAAAATAAGAACACACAGTTCTTCTTTAACCCCACTCAAGTTCATCAACTGACTTGATCGTTTGAGGTATCACGGGGGAACTCATCACCGCCCTCTTACGATTTTTTGTGTACAGATTGCTCGGTCATCCTAATTCCAGAATCCGACATAAGTTGAAGAAGAAAGCGGCCCCTCCTCTTTTTTTTATATAAATTCTGTGGTTTTAATTGGCTGTGTGTATTATATTAAATATTATAATAATATAATATAATAAATTTTTTTATTATATATTACTATATATATTATAATATAATATATTGTAATTTATTTTAATGTAATATAATATGATTATTAATTATAGAATAATATGTCGTAACACTATATTACTAGTATTTTACCCATGCTAAGCACGAGCTACTGTTACTCTGTGAATTATTGTAACTTTCACTTGTAATAATCATAAACCAATCTATTGTTATGGATATTTGGCTATTGTCTAGAGAAAGAGAGCAGTCTTGTTGTAATGTTCCTCTGACATTGTTGCGGTCAAATATTTTTATTTACTATCGATTACATGCAAAAACATGACTGAAACAGTCTGACTAAATTTTTATCTAATAAGCAAAGATAGCAAATAGCAATTATGTATGCATCCGCGCGCACATACACGTGGATCCCTAGACGTCATTACAAAACAAAACAGATTGTGAAAATATTGGGTGTGTTTGGTAATCAATGCGTTTTTTTTGTTTTTTTTAAAAACATCATGCCATTGTGTTTTTTTTCAAATGTGTTTTGAAAACATCATTTTGATCAAACTAATTTGACCATTTATATAGCGGCAGTGGG